GTACAAAAAATTCATTAATGTGGTTTTAATCTCCACATACCAACTAACCTTTAAAAAACTAGCACTTCTTAAGTTTGGGTTTAGTATTAAAGAAAAATATCCACTATTATTTGTAAAGGCTGTTAAAATAATCTTCCTTTTTCCAAACGCATATATGTAATTGTAAATCCATATTTTTGTTCATGTACATCAGCTAAACAATGTATTGCAACTGATTGAATGCAGATGCAGATATGAGAATCCAACTGTCTTCTTCTAAATCAGACATTTAAAAGAATTGTATAATGTAAAACAATGCCATTCTTCTCACTAAATATTTTCTTGCTTGGGAAAAATATAGCGTTTCTTTTTCCTAGAAAAATATTTATGTTTACATGTAATAGGTGTGTTGTTATTTAAAATATAATGATAGGCTGGGCACGTTGGCTCATGCCTGGAGATCGAGACCATCCTGGCTAACATGGTGAAACTGCGTCCCTACTAAAAATACAAAAACAAAATTAGCCAGGCATGGTGGCAGGTGCCTATAGTCCCAGCTACTCAGGAGGCTGAGGCAGGAGAATGGCATGAACTCCGGAGGTGGAGCTTGCAGTGAGCTGAGCACCACTGCACTCCAGCCTGGGTGACAGAGAGAGACTCTGTCTTAAAAATAAATGAATAAATAAAATAAAGTATAATGATAAAGAAATGTTTTTATAGATCTCTCAGTTTTAATTTCTAAAGTGATAGATTGTGATAAAGATAACCTAAATAAGAAAAGCTTTTTGGATCCTCAATAATTTAAAAACTTGTAGAGTCCTGAGACTGAAACATCTGACAACTGTTTATCTAATAGAAAGTGATAAGGGGCTGTACTAGGGTAATGGCAAACCTCTGTAACTGGAAATTGAAGAGCAAGACTTGAATAGAAATGAGGTTCCACATTTTAGAAAGACATTTAGACTTATGTATCATTTAAACTAGTTGTTTTTGGATGAATTTTCAAAAGAGTTGATTTAGCTGGACCCTAGATACTACCTTCAGGCCCTTAAAAGAATCAGATCCTTTAAGGATGATTCTGTATTATTAAATATAGTGTATTATTTATGATAATTCTTCTTTCTAACTTCTAGGCCACATACAACAGGATATAAAAAGCCAAAAGACAAAGGATAAATTCTTTCATATGTGTGTAATCCTATAAACCCTCTTTGAAGCTGATTCTCATATTTTTGCTTTATAGAAAAGGAAACCAAATATCAGGAAGTGTAAGTAATTTAGTAAGTCACAAGGAAGTAAATAGTTGAGCCTGGATTTTGAACTGCTTTTTTTTTTTTTTTTTTTAATCAAAAGTCCACGGCTGTCATCCACTTTATTCTAGATGCTTTTGTTTTAGTTTTATTGGGTAGAAGTTGGTGTGAAGAGTTTTTTGCTTTCATTTACTTGTTTATTTTTTACCATGCAAATAAAGAATGCCTATTCCATTTTACTTGATATGTATGCAACAATCCAGTGATCAAGGATAATATTGTATCACAATGCATTTGCATTCTCATTAGCTATACACATTTAAATGTTAGATAACACAGAAAAGATCTATAAACAAATACATAAAATGCTCCTCCAATGAAACCTTGGATGTCCCATTTTTCTGAGCTTTAAACCACTGTAATTGTTTCCTGCATAGTATTTATGCCTGTGTTCCTCATTAATAGCCATTAATCATGTGTTCCATTAACAGCCACTCTCAACAGAATCAGGACTAAGCTATTAAGATAAGTGTAGGGTGATGGCAATCCTATGAATAACTAAGCCAATAGATGTTGAAATTCAAAAAAGGGAAGTGACTTTTAGCACTTTCCTGGGATTCATCCATGCTATGAATAAATACGTTGTTTTGAAACAAATAATTTTTGTGAAAAATGTTGCATAATATGGATTTGATAGCAATGTTAAATCTAAATTGATAGATAATAAATTAGTCTTCCTTCAAATAGAAAGCCTGGGCTAAGCAAGAAGCATCAACAAAAAGATATTTCTATTGTACAAATTACATATTAAGGCTCAATGAAATAAAAGATTATGTGTTTGGGATCAATACTGTATAAAATAATTATGTTTGTAATAAATTGACACTTTTATTTGCAGTCCATCTGCTTTTATGAGAGACTTGAATTTTCACAATAGACTTCAGACCAATTGAGTAGGAAATGAACAATTATGGAGTAAAGGGGGAATATACCAGAGGGAAACTCTGAAATAACAAAAGCTTGAAATTGAGGTGCTTTTATACTACATATTAAGTGGTATTAATTTATTATTTCTGAAACATTTTTTATCTAAGTTCCTCAAGGCCATCAATATATTTGAAAGAAAATTAAATTTGTTCTACAGTTCCCTGAATTGTGTATTAAATAGGTGGAAGATACCAAGATATAAATGTTAATACATATTAAGGAAGGACATGCAATGATAACCAGAAGATTCTATATTCAAAATAGAAGGATAATAACTATCCTCAGTGAAAGATGATAAAGACCAATAGAAAAGGAGAAAATCAATCTCAGCTGAGAATATGAAGCACAAAGTTCAAGTCCTTCTCTAGAGAGCAATTGCATTTTTCTATAAAACAGAAAAAAACACAACTGTTTCTAGAAAAGGGCAATGGGAATGGGGTTGCTCTTCACCTATAATTCTAGAAGAAAAGGCATATGGCTAGTCCATAAGTATATACATTTAAGTCCTGGTTCGTTAACAGACTATATTGAGTCAAAAAGGACAAAATGTCTTCATTAAGGTTTTCCCATAAAGACGTTTTATTTTAAAACTGTATCATTAAAAAATCACCCAGATTATTTTATTAAATAGATAACGGCACAAAATATATGCTAATCATTTTTTCAATTGAATTCAAATATGCACATGCATATTCATATATATTTAATACAGAAAGAAACACAGAGAGTGAGAGAGGGAGTCCACTATGTATTAAGTACTGTGTTAGTGAGCAGGCCTCCCTTATTACAGAGTACACAGCTAGGTGAGTGAATAAAGTATATTAAAAAATGCATACAAAAGATGACAGAATCACCATTCCAAAAGATCTTGGTGGGTAAGAATCATGAACTGGATCTAACAAGATGTAACTTAAAAGTAAAAAACTGTAGTGTTGCACTGAGCTCCCTCCAAAGCAACTATATATTTATAGGAGATGAAACACATGATTCACCAGGCATGAGAAGAAAGCTTCTATAATCAAAAACAATTGTATCCATCTTTTTAAACTCCAGCTCCTATCACAGCATCTGGTGCAAAGCAGATCTTTAGTATTTGTGGAACTGACTTGGATTGTGTTTTGGGAATTTTGTCATTGGTAAACCTAAGGAGAGTCAAGAGAACAATGTGACCAAAAAATAAAAATAAAAAAATAATAAAAAACTTGGACTTTCATTGTACTGGTAGAAAGATGAAGTTTATAATCTGGCTCAGTTTCTTTTTTGTTTTCTTTTTTGTTGTTGTTTTTTGGTCAGGGCAAACTTAGGTCATTATTTTTAACACTAGAACAGTAGTTTAAGAGCAGATAGACAAGCTATAATGAGAATAGACAAACAGCAAGGCCACCGAAAGAACTCAGAACTACATCTTATAAGAAACAACTGAATGATGCCAATGTTTAACTTGCAAAAGAGACTACTCAGTTGATTTCAAATATATGACATATAATGGTAATGAACTATCACTTATTAAGCAATTACTATTGCAATGTATACTCATTTAATCCTGCTGACATGTGAGGTGAATATTACTAGCCCACCTCCCCCCTTTTTAACTAATGAGAAGACTGTAATCTGTAAGGTAAAATAACATGTCCAAACTCATAGAGCTACATAGTTATAAAGCTGATTTATAAAATGATTTGACTCCAAGATCAGGAATTATTACCCTGTGTCTTGTCTTCCACATGAGCTAACCACAAAGGAACTGAGTACATGCAGACAGATTTCAGCTCAGTATAAGAGAATTGTTACATTAGTTCATGGAAGAATATGTTTTTAAAGTATTTTTGTTAGTCTCTAGGAAATCTCTCTAACATTTTATTGTGTAAATTATACCCTTTAATGTAAGAGGATAAAAATAATACTGAACATTGGCAAATAGCCTATGATTAATAGGGTTTACCTATGAGTTATCTGCTTCTAAGATAAATACCTAAAAATAATGTTGGAATTAAATGTCCCTTTCAAGATCTACCCTCCCTGCTCCCTGAGAGTGCAGTTAATTTTTCAAGACCAACTGGGGACATGTATTTTCAATGTTTATGGTTAAAAGATATATACATGCACAAAAATATACATGCACAGAAATGAGAATCACTTCAGAATTGGTGTTAACTTTAGAGAAAAAAAGGCCAAGAACTTACTCTTTGTAACTACAAATTTATTTCTAAAATAGAAGCACTGGTGGATTTAGAAGTAAGGTATAAAATTCAAAAACGTATCCATGTTTCTCAAGGGCCTTGTTGTAGGCCGCTCTAATTCCATACGTTATGTGACTTTTCCTAGAATTTTTACACTAGAAAACAGGCAATCAAATTTTGTTTGGTTTTAACAACCTTCTTCTCAGAAGCATATGTCTATTGAGGAAGTCTTCAGATAACAAGGACAAATCATTCCTAATAGGTCTATGAGATTTAAGATGTAAAAGATCAACATTATCTTTAGTTGACTTTACTGGATGCCACAACCTTCTGATTTCTGTAACCACTTCTTATGCTTCTTCCTCACTGAGACAAAATCAGAGGTAAACAGAGATTCACCCTAAGAGAAATTGGGGAAAATGAGGAACAGGTTTTCTGCACAAAAATTTGTTTCTCATTTCTTTTTCAGAAAATAGAGGATCGCTGTTGTTCCCAACAGGTTTGCAGGGAAGAAAATTGGAGAAACATTATTACATTTTCTTAGATGTTGGCAACTGAGGCAACAAGGACTGCAAAACAAGATTGTGTGTCCCCTATTCCCAAATAATCAAAATTGGCAGTAGGGATGGAGGAATATTGGGGTTTTAGGGTTGTTAGGGTTTCGTCAAGCCAATGTATTCCCTGCCGGATTTTAAGGAGAAAAAGGCGCTGGAAAATGGAGTGATGTTAGCCCCCTTTCTTATTTTTCACTGCTGCCAAAAACTAACTCTATCTCTCTCCCCAACCCTTTCCTCCATCTCCCTCCCTTAGATGTGTTTGCACAGAAGAGTGCCCAGTGAAGAGACCGACTCCTTGGATCGCTTTGCGCAAAATCCACCGCTTTTCTCTCCTCCCTCCCTTCCAGCCTCCGAATCCCGCATGGCCCTCCCTCCCCTCCCGCAGCCGTGCGTGGCTGGGGATGAGCCTCTGTGAACTACTAAGGTGGGAGGGGGCTGCAGGCAGAGGAGAATGTCAGATGCTCAGCTCGGTCCCCTCCGCCTGACGCTCCTCTCTGTGTCAGCCAGAACTGGTTTCTGTAAGAAAGAGCAGGAGCTGTGGCAGCGGCGAAAGGAAGCGACTGAGGCACTTGGAACCGAAAAGTCCCGGTGCTCCTGGCTACCTCGCACCGCGGTGCCCGCCCGGCCGTCAGTACCATGGACAGCAGCGCTGCCCCCACGAACGCCAGCAACTGCACTGATGCCTTGGCGCACTCAAGTTGCTCCCCAGCACCCAGCCCCGGTTCCTGGGTCAACTTGTCCCACTTAGATGGCAACCTGTCCGACCCATGCGGTCCAAACCGCACCGACCTGGGCGGGAGAGACAGCCTGTGCCCTCCGACCGGCAGTCCCTCCATGATCACGGCCATCACCATCATGGCCCTCTACTCCATCGTGTGCGTGGTGGGGCTCTTCGGAAACTTCCTGGTCATGTATGTGATTGTCAGGTAAGGAAAGCGCCAGGGCTCCGAGCGGAGGGTTCAGCGGCTCAAGGGAGTCCAAAGAGACACCTAACTCCCAAGGCTCAATGTTGGGCGGGAGGATGAAAAAGGGGAGGTAAACTGGGGGAATTCTGGAGGCGACCACGGACAGTGATTGCTATTTCTGTGAGAAAATCTACTTTTCCATTTTTTCAATTGATAAGGAAGTAATCCAAAATTTCAGGAGCAGAGAAGTTGCTTTGGTTAAAGCTACAAAGGTCTAGGGGTGTGGGGGAAGTTATAGGGTAGACTTAGAGCTCTTCCTTATACTGAGCAAAGAGGGCTCTTGGCAGAGTCCTACACTCAGTTCCTCTGCAGGAGCTATGGAAAGAGTAAGTTGTGAATAATGGGAGAGAAATTCTAGTTAGCCTTCCCAAATTTGGTTGGGGCTGTGGTGTGTGTGGGGGGGAGGAGGGGAGAAGTCTTCTCAGTTGTTTTGAGATGGACCTTGGCAACTTTCCCACTCCTGCTGGTTTAATACTTCCCTGTGCTACAACCCCACCTTTTCTTCTCCCCTACCATAGCAGCCCTTACCCATCTCTTCCTTTCATCCTGAGGCAACACTAGGTAGAGGAAGTTTTCCTAGCGTCTCTCCATGGTAGTTTTCCTCCTGTTATAACAAACATGACAGCTGTGTTGCCTAGACTAGTTTGCCATTGGTAGCTTCAGATCGCCTAAGTCACAAATTGCATCTGGAATGGGCAGGTTGGTTCAGGAAAACTGCAGGACATGGCTGTATTTCAATGCCTCCACAAGTTGGAGCTAATTAGGAGTGACCAAAAGCATCATAATTCCACATTAGGAACTGCAGAAACGCTTACACAGGAAGTTTTGATGGGTGCTCTAAACAAAGTGTTCTTATCAAGTGAAATTAATTCAAAAGAGTTGTGGTCCACTTTCTGTTTACCCAGATGTTCCAGGTATATTTGGCAGAGTGTGGAAGCTCTCAATCTTGATTGAGATTGGTATTGATTGTGTTGGTGTTGATGTGTATATTCAAATGTATATTCAAATACTATATGTGAATGTGAAATGCCATATATCTGTTTTTGTTAAAGAATATAAATATTTTAAGACTTTAAAATAGCTCCTAAATTGAGGGTTTTTTCTTTTTTAACCAGGGGTATGTGTATGTAGGTAACAAGGCATTTTCATATTTAGTTACAATATTTGTTTCACCTATTCAGCAAGTATTGCAGGTTTCAGTAGAGCTCTTAAATCATTTAACAATTGCTCTCTCCAGTATCCTTTCATTACCAAGGTGCTGCAAATTGCTTATAAGCAATTCTTTCTACTCATCTGTCTGATTTCTTTAATTAATGATTTTCAAAGAGTAAAGCTAATTTCCCTGATCTTTTGATGAGGAGTAAGATAAGTATCGTCTGTAAGAAAAGAGCACCATCTATTGAGAGGAAGGCTAACAACAGAAGGAAAAATGTAAGAAGATCAATGGAAGAATTTATTTTTAAAAACATTTACTTTAAGTAATTCAATACAATGATTTGCATTAAAGATTAAAAACCAAGTTTCATTCTGCAGTTATGACAATAAAAGTTATAATTAAAGGCCTACTTTGTGAAGAGAAAATATGTTTCTCATTTTTTCTCAAAGAAATTCATAAAATTATACACTAATCAAGCTAGAAGGGACTCTAGAGATTATCTATGCTAAGTAAATAAACTGAGGCACAGAAAATGTAAATGATTTTCTCCAAAAACAGATATTTCATTAATTCAGTGCCACTGAATCTCTCCTAGCTCACATAATTTTATGTTTATTGTGCTGACAAATCATGATTTGAGTTAATTTGACTATTAGGTTGACAGAGTGGGTTGATACAGCAATAATAACTTGGGAATAACAAATTATCCCCAAATTCTGTATGAAATCCTGAAGGAAAAAAAAGCATGAAACAAAAATTACCAAAGCATCTAGGAATCCTGCCATCTAAAACATAATATTTTATTCCTTTTTATTGCTTCTTGGTATTTTCCTTCCTCATTTTTCTACACCTTAGTTTATGCTTTGCAATACAGAGAGGGTCAATAGAGTGGCAACTGGCTGTGAAATAAGCAGATTGGTCTTATTATTCCAGTGTAGATGTTGTTGGTTGGGTGAGTTGGTTTTAAATGCATTACCTCTGGCCTCTTGTTGACTTGGGGAAACATGGTGACAGTGCATCTTACTGAGAACATGATATTATGCTTTATTCTTGGTACTGAAAGTTCTTACAAAATGCAGTACTATTTGAAAGGTCATCCCAAACACCCACCTGTGGCAGGGTGGGTTTTAATTGCAGGGTTAGGTAACCCTCTTGGAATGTGACTGTGAAACAGAAAAATGGGCAAGTTAGTGACAGATGAAGTGACAGGGAAGGTATCCGGGGATTGAACCAAGTATGTCTATTTAGCTGAGAATATTTAACTGACTGTCTCCAAGCTGCAGTGTTTAAACTACAAAATGATCAGTTCAGGGATGTATTGTCCTTGCTAATCGGCTGGATATAATGTTGCATCTATTAAGCATTGAGGAGAAGTGCTCACTTCCTTCTCTATTTCAAATTCAACAAATACTATTGAATGATCAAGTAGCTGCAGTTTTCTGATTATATTAAGGTAATATTTATTAAGATGTTTTAGTCCATTGAGTGAATCATGAGGCTCAGATGACTATGGCAACAACAACAACAAAAATAACTGCTAACGCGGATGCTGTGATGAACTCTTTGGCTCTGTTTGTACCACCATCATCATCCCTTCATCAACAACATTATTAAGTAGTATAACTTAAATGAGATTCTTAAATAGGGCTGCTCTAAGGAATACAAGGGAGGAAAGAAGAAACTGTAATATGTTCTAAAGGTTTAAAATCCAAATGTTAAGTCATAAAAATGTTATCAGTAACCATCACCTGAAAGCTTTTTTTGGTTTTAAAGAAAACTAATGCTTGCAGAATAACTTTATGAAAATTACCACAAAGATTTTAGAAAATGTGATGAAAATATTACAAAAAGTAGCAACCACTTAAAATGGGATGATAGTATTTCATTGTCAAGAACTGTAAAGAAAAAAAATCAAAACGAAGAGTAACAGCAACCAGAGATGTTTCACTTTTTAAAAATATTTAATAACTGAACCAAACTATAGGATTACCCATAACCGTAAAAACTAATATAATCCCAGATGTGTTTATGTTGGCAGATTCTTTGTCCAAGGTTTGTTCATGGAGCTATGAACATGGTATGTACAGACACTGTTGAAAAGTGGAGGTCTAGAAACTTTGAGATCTCAGTGGGCTGTGTAAACCATCCTTACAGTAAATTTCCAATGAAGAGTGCCAAGTAATAGTACCCTCATTTGTAAGACTATTTCTTAATATGGTTAGATAAATTCTCAATATAACTAATTATCAGAGAAGAGCATTTAAATACATGCAAGATGTTATTGTCATTTCTCCTTCCTAAGAAGTATTTCTAATTTTGGAAAAGTCCTGTGAGCTTATACTTGTTCTATATACTAAATATTTGATTCAGGTTTAAATTTAAAGATGATCAGTTATACTTGATTGGAACAGAAGTATAAGCTTTTAAACTTAATCCCAGATTTAGGTAGGTAGAAATCAGTGAACAATAATGTTTTATCTAATATAAGGATATATATATATATATATGTATGTGTGTATATATATAAATTCATACACACATACATATATATTTGAATCAATTTGAATGCATATGTCACTAAATATGATCATTAGTAATTTTCATAAAATAAAAAGATAATAGTTCATTTAGAAAGCTCAAATATTAATAAAATTCACTTTTTTAAAACCCACAAAATACCTTAGTTAGAGGATGGATTTTAAGTGGAAAACACTAAGTAAAATTCAGTTCTCAATTTAATGGTTTACATTAAAAAATACTAACTTAATTGCATGCCTTTCACTTAGTAAGGGGGAGCTCCTGGTACCTATTACAATTTGAACTTTAAGTGCTATTTTCCCTATAAATACTAATTCAGAGGAGAACAACTCTTCTTCTGTGTCTCCTAAACATACTAAATTGCTTTTACTTTCCTTAGTTGTAAGCTGTGTCTTTGTCATTTGCATGGTATTACCAATGAGTTTCCTACATTCTTCTCTCTCTTTTCTTTCTTGAAAGGATGACCTATCTGATATTTCTTGAAACATCTCCAAAGATAAAAAAATATATAGAATTACAGAACAATTCTTCCCTTAAAGGATGGATGGATGGATGGATGGATGGATGGATGGATAGATAGATAGATAGATAGATAGATAGATAGATAGATAGATAGACAGATAGATTTAAACAGTTGAAGTCTCTTCTGTGCTCGCATTACCCTCCTTTCACTGAGACTTTCACTGAGACTACCATAAATTTAGTGGTGAGTATTCACATGCATGTTGTTAAACATTTACTACATATAGAAACACATATATATAGTAAATATATGGAAACACAAATACATAGTAAATGTTTTTGTATGTTCTCGTAACTTTTTATAACTGGTATCATATCATATGTTTAAGCTTAAACACATAATTTCCCAATTACCCCAAGCTGTTATATTTCCAGTAGGCCAGTGCTAGAAAATAGATGTCAAATAAAACCAACAAACATAAAAGAAAACAAACAAACATTGTGGCCATTAACTCTTCTGAGTACTTTTAACTGATCTTATTTTTAAAACATGTGTTAAAAATTATTCGTAAAAATTTATTTGCAAGCATTTTTCTAAGCTAATTGTTTTAATTAATATTTAGGTATAAAAAACTCAGCTACTGCTGCAAAAAAAAAATACCGGTTAATAAATTTAAATAAAGCACAATTTCTCTACTGCTAAGAAGAAAATAAAAGTAATTAATTGGTGTCTGTATGCATTCGAATAATAAATGCTGGCAATATTTATTTTGAGATTTTGAACATCTAATAGGATCCCTTACAT